CTATTCTCCCTCTCTCCTCCTTCGTCTGTGTATGATTCTCACCTCATTCTATCATCACACATATTATGATTGTTTGTCATTTCATCAGCAGATCGATAATCATAGGGACTGGTAATGTTGACGAGTATCATCACGTCTGGGCTCATTGCACAGAGAGTCTGGACTGTGTTTTTATCCACTGTAGTGTTGTGTGGTCTGAATACACGGTAAAGTGCCTCCCTAACAGGTAGTGTCTCCACGTATCCAACGCACAAACTAGGGCATAAAGTTCCCCTTCATAGGTGGAGTTGGCAACCTTCTCTGACGACAATCATGTAGACATAAACTCTATGGGCCTATAACCCTTGCCATCATCCTGTTGGAGAACAACGCCAATCCCATACTGACTTGCGACAGTGGTAACAATGAAAGGCAAGGACGGGTCAACAATCTTAAGGACATGGTAGTGAGTTAGTGCATATTTCAATTTCCGAAAGGAAGACTCACAATCCTTATCCCACAACCAGATAGTTTCTTTCTTTAACAATCTTCGCATTGGTGCAGTAATCAGTGAGAAGTTCCTAACAAACTTTCTGTAGTAGCTGGCTAAACCAAGGAAAGATCGCAATTCAGTTATAGAATTAGGCTGTGGCCAATCTTTAATTGCCGAAATCTTTTTCTCTTCCAGCCTTAGACCTGCTTCGTTCACTATACGTCCTAAGTATAACACTTCGGACTTAGCAAACTCGGACTTGTTGGGATTGATCTTGAAGTTGGCCTCTCTCAACTTCTCTAGCACCAGACGAAGGTGCTTCTCATGATCTTCTAGTGTCTTACTGTACACTAGAATATCATCGAGATAGACAATTACGAACTTGGAAGGTCGTTGGGGCATTAGTCAGTCCGAAAGGCATTATACCACAAACTCATAAAATACCTCGTTCGGAATGCGGTCTTATGTTGATCCGTGGGTTCCACCTCGATCTGATGGTACCCTGATTTCAGATCAATCTTACTAAAAAACTTACAACCCTGCAACTGGTCTAGCAAGTCGTCAATTCGTGGTAGAGGTTCGACATTCTTAACAGTGACAGCATTCAACCCTCTGTAGTCAATACAGAGACGCAACTCACCTTCCTTTTGGGCACAAATAAGACAGGGGCACCATAAGGAGAGAAGCTAGGGCGAATCCATCCTTTTTCTGTTAAGTCTTGCAGTTGCTTTCGCAATTCCTCAAGTTCCCTATGAGACATTCCATAGATAGGGCCCTTGGGAATCTTACTGCTAGAAATAATTTCAATTGTGTGCTTGATACCACGTTCAGTTTTTCCTTTTTTTTTTTTTTTTTTT